TACCGGAAGGAGCCCTACTAGGGAACAGGCTGATGTCAGGCTTTGTACCTTGTACAACATCAGACCAAACCCAAATGCCGCATCAACTGCAGATTTACATGTGAAAAACAAAACTGCCAAGGAAGAACCCTTCACAACCTGAGCCAAAGACAAAACGTCGATAAATGCACCTATATAAAAACCTGAATACCAAGAACTACTCGGTTAAAAATGCCTCAAGCAAAGTCAAAAGACAGATGATCAACTGGAAAATACAGTCACAACTTAAAACAAAAACACCTCAACTCCTCAAATACAAATAGCTCCACAAAATCACAGGACCAACAACCCATTTGAAAAACGGACCAAGGACATTAGCACATATGAACGTACTTAAAGGCCCTCACTCCCGTGTGTGATAAAAAGACTGAAGGTTGAAAGTATACTGGCCTACCCGCCCCCCATCCCCGCGGGGGCAGAAGATCTCCCGGGCGTCACAGTGCACTCTTGGTGAGGCTACGGGGAGCCGGTGCTCTCCTAGGCTGCAGTTGACGCCGTCCCACAGCAGCATCTACCAAAATAAGTGCAGGTACCCTCTGATCCCACGATCTCCCTCCCAGAAATTTATCCTACACACATGCACACATGGAGATGCCATACACCGAGCCCTTTGCTCCGGTCACCCTCTCTGGGGCTCACCCTCCACCCACGCATCCACAGGTGGGGTTCTGCCCCTCCAGGAAGGAACTCAGCATTGCAGGAGTGTGGGCAAAGGGCCAGCCAGGCCACAGGGGAACAGAGCAGGAGGGTTCTAAGAAGCAGAGATCAGGCCTGCCTTCGGCTCAGGGCTCCCTGGCAGGTGGGGGCAGGTGGGGGTGGGGGGGGGCGGGGCAGGCCAGGCAGGAGGAACCTGCAGGTGGAGGGAACCAGTGGGCACCTGGGGGGCCATCCTGTCACAGCGTCAGAGGAGAGAGGGCAGCACAGTGTGAGGAGTGCAGCACGCCCCCCCCAACCTCGTATTCAAGAAGAGGGAAGGAGGTGGAGGCTGGGAGGGTCTGATGAGACAGGGCTGCTCGCCTGCTGACGCAGGGACGGGAGCGGGGACGTCTCCACGGGCACCGTGAGCTTTCCGCTCACAGGCAACCCAGCAATTTTCTACCCACTCCATTTCCAAAAAAGATACTTATTTCAAATGTCACTGGGTTGCAGTCTGGTCCCTTTCCTGAGCAGTGCTGCTGGCTGGCTACAGGCAGCCCCACCCAGCCCCGGGGGAGCCGGCGCATGCTGGGGGGGAAGCGGGACCTGCGCCCACCCCTGATGGTCACCTGGCTGAATAAGCAGCGTGATCAGGCAGCACGGAGGGGCAGTGGGACGTGGGCTCCACTCCCAGAGATGAATTCTGCTTGATTACATGCTGAAGCATTTACAGGGAACGGTGCAGATGTTTGCAATTTGCTTTAAAATGCATCAGAAAAATGTAAAAGCATTGATGGATGGCAGAGGGGTGGTATCAGGAGGCCCCCACAGTAAGATGCTCGTGCCCGGATGTGGGTGGTGGGTAAGCGGGTCTCCATGGAGGAATTCGCCCGGCTGTGTTGTACGTTTGAGAATGCTCATCAAGCGCTGGGGCAAACCCAGGGGGGCCAAGGGCCCGAGTGCAAGTGTGCGGCCAGGCTGTGCTGTGCACACTCGGGTGTCTAGCCAGGGCTGCTAACCGACACGCGTCTGCCGCCCCTCTCAGCTGCACCTCCGGAGCTTCATGTGGCCCGTGACTGTCACCGTCCCCACATCTGGCCTATTAGAAACACGACTGGGGAAAGCATGTGTGTCGCCAAGGTAAGGCATGGGATGGCGGTGTTACTACTAACTCTGGCCGACCTGGGAGCCATCACCGCGGTCACCAAAGTGGCCTGAGACCAGGGCCACAGGCCACGGTGAGGGCCACAGCCACCACCCACACCAGAGCCCACTCACCGAGGAGGCCAATGAGACATGAGTCCTACTGCCATTCCGCAATCATTCTCTTGGCTCTGGGAAACCGAGGCCCGCGGACAGGTGTGCGGGGCAGGGCCACGGTGGGAGGGAGCAGGGGGCCCAGGGCCGGGGTTGCCTTCCCGTTCCACGGCGGCCAGGCCCCAGCTCCGGCAGCCACACGGGAAGCACAGGGCGCCCCCTGGCTCCAGGCCCAGCCGTCCAGGTGGTCTGCTCACTCCCAGCCCCGGGACATCCGGACCTAGCCCAGGCCATCCTGCCCCTACAGAAGGGGTCTGTGAGCGAGCCACTCACGCGCTGGCTAACTGTGGGCCTCGGTTTCCCCATCTCTAAAGAGGGGCACACACGAGACAGCAGCAGTCCCCTGCGGCTGGCAGGAGTCCCCTCCGTGGGCTGGGGCACCGGGATGAGCGTGGGAACAGCCCGGCCCCACAGGCCTGCGCCCCACACCGTCCAGAGAGTGCAGAGCAGGCTCGGACTGGTGACGGGAGCTGTTGCCTCACCAACCAGCTGTGAACTGATTACAAGAAGTTCTAACTAGTGGCGCTCCCTCTCCAAGCATATGTTCCCAATTAAGTCAAACTGCAGCTGATTTTAATCAATCTTCCTCGAAGCGGCCCAACTGGAAGCCTGTCCACAGAGGGGAGAGGGGAGAGGGAGGAGGGCGTGTGCACAGGAGCGCCCAGCCGGCCGCGGCTGGACTACGCGGGGCTCGCTGGGCAGCAGTGGCAAAGACACCCGTGGCAGGCCTGCTGCTTCCTAGGCCCCGGCACAGAGGTGAAGGGGTGAGGTCTCTGCCCTCCACACGCGTTTCCTCTCCCCAGGCGCCCACACATGCACACGGTTATCCCGAAGTTATAAAGGACGAACTGGGGCTCACATGGGAAAGCCAACATGCCTAAAGCCACCCGGGCAAGAGACGGGACAGGGGTCCAGTTGAGGACCCCACGATGCCCTCCTGTTTCTGAGCGTCCAAGTCGCCTTCACACCCATTTCGTGGCTGCCTAGACCCCAGCCAGACACAAGTTCTTCCTGTCCGCTCTGCGTGACCAGCATGGCCACTCACCTTGCCCTGACTCGCCACCTTCACTCCTGTCTGTCCTGGGGGGTCAGGGTTCCAGGGCAGAGCCCCCGTGTCTCTGCACCCTCAGCAGGGCCTGGGCTCACTGGCACTTGTCGTGAGCCGGAAGAAGGGATGGCGTCTGGGTCAGACAGAACCGCTGCTGCTACAGCAAGCGTCCAAGCCCCCTGAATGGTCAGCTCAGCCCTGGGCGGGCAACCTGTGCCTGCCCACCGCACCGCACGACAGACGCGGGTTGGCGCAGCTGGTGGGGGGAGCGGGCCAGGAGACAGGGAACTGGGTGCCCAGCCCAGCTCTGCCTCTCCTGCTGGGTGCCCTCGACCGAATGACTGCCCCTCCCTGACCGGACGTTTCCTCATCAGGGAAACGGGGAAGCAGGACCTCCTCCTGAGGACCGTGGGCACAGAGAGAGGTCTGCAGAGCACAGTGATGGCGCGTGGCTGGCCTTCCTGAGATGGGCCCCACTCTAGGTGCAGGAACGGCCCTCGTGGACTCGAGCTGCAAGCGGGAGCATGGACAGACTGTCACGGCCCTGCTCTTACTGCCTCTCAAGGTCTGACAGCACTGCCGCAGGACCAGCAAACGTCCCCGGGCCTGGGACACCCACCAGAACAGAGGAGGCAGCGGCGCGTGGCTATCTAGAAGCCTCCACCACCCACTCCTCTGCACTTCAGCCCTGCCACCCCCGCCCCAGGGCTGTGGCCGAGCTCAGGGCGTACCGCCACACCCCCGCACACGCACCTGAGCCCCCAGCATGATGGAAACCTGGCCCCACAAGCCTGTCCCCGGCTCCCCCAGCTCCCACAGGCACGGACACGGACGCCACCTGCCCCCGTGAGCAGGTGCCCAGCCCCTTGACCGTGAGCAGCTCCAGGACTTGCTGTAAGACCTCTGCCCCACCCGAGGGTCGGCGTGGAGCTCAAAGTATCTCCACCCAGGAACATCTGACACGGAAAGAGCACCGGACACCCCATCTCCCAGGATGGCGAATGTCCATCAGCCACAGTGCTCACCTGCACTGCACCCCAGAAACCCTGCCAAGAGCCACAGCAGGCTCCCTGGGAAAGGCCTGGAAGCCCAGAGGCAAGGAAAAAAGAAAGATTTCAGCAGGACTCACTGTACCCCAATCACGGCGGGGGGGGGGAGGCGGCCTGGGCAGCCATCAGCCCTGCTCATAGGCTGTGCCCAGCTGGACACGCAGGAGACACCCGCCAACCCCGCTCTGACAGGGCCCGGCTGATGGGCCGCTGGGGTCGGCCTGCCAACAGCCCAGCTCTCCCTCCCGAGGACCGCGGCCCAATTAAACAGTGCGGCTCCTAGAGATGAACATTGCCAGCCACGGCTCACGGCACCCTGCTTCATCAGAGTTGTCACTTCTCCCGACTCCAGGAATCGGTAATAAAAAAGAGATGTGATTTGCCTCTAATAGGTGTCAAGATAAAATCAATGGCCTGTCCAAAATCTGGGTAATCACAAACCTGCAGGTTCCTTGCTGTGGAACAATTCAGACAGGAGGATGACAATGAAAAACAAACTTGGAGTAAACACTGTGAACAGCAGTGTGATCTTGCGGCTGCAGGCGGGTGGGGACGGGCCTGGCTATGAGCCCAAACAGAGATGGTCCCATGGGCCGTGGCCAGTGTAGGGGGAGGGGAGGAACATCGATGGAGCACAGGACCGGGGCCATGGGCTGGTGACATGCGGCCCGAAGGCAGGACACCCTCTCTGCTGAGCTCTGTGACACATGCTCTCAGCCAGCCAGGGGTGCGTGCATCCGGGGAGGGCCCCAACTAGGTTGTGTCTGGTGACCCAGAAGACGGGACGTCTGTGGGTGCGGGAGGCACGGACACGGACACGCAGGAAGAAGCCAGGAGGGCAGGGTGTGCTTGCCGGGAGAATGCGGAGTTCTGGGAGAAGCCTCCACCCGTGGCCGCCCGCCAGTATACACCTGCAGGGTGAACCGCTCAAGCTGCATCTCCAGCATCTTCTTGTCTTCTTCCAGACGACTGCGCTCCCCTTCCAGCTCCTCAATCTTCAACCTGCAAGAAGAGCCAGACCATCAGGACATACACCACAGCTTGCACATCCATTCCGGCAGACAGGGTTCTGCTGCACTGGGGGTGTGTGTGTGTGTGTCTCTCTCTCTCTCTCTCACGCAGGCCGGGAGTGCAGCCCACGTGTCTGTTCTGACCAAGATGGTTCTGCAGGGGGTCTTCACTGACCACAACTCGGAGGGAGGGGTGGCTAACCGTAGGCAGGACAGGTAGGAGCTTGCACGTGTCTTGTGCCTGATGGTCCACTCCCAGGAGGTGTGACCACATGTCACAGAGGACACAGAACCACGGAGATGGCCTGAAGAGAGATGCGGGCTGGGGAGGGAAGCTCGACTGGGTGGGGAAGTAGGCTCAGGGGACCGTGCAGAGTCCCTCCTCCATCATGGGCCCAGAGGCTATGCGAAGGCCAGTGGCCGACACGGGCGAGCGGCAGGCTTCAGCTCACTGTAAGAAAGTCTTATTTTTGTCTTCATTTTTTAAAGTTAATTTTCTGAAAGGCACTATATTCACGTGATTTAAAAATCAAAAAGTGTGTCCAGGAAGCAGTGCCCAGCACGTACACAGGCTGAGGAATAGGGCCTTCCCCACCACCAGCCAGAATGGAAAGCTCATATTTCATAGATTATTCAGGAAGGTCTTGGCTCAGGAGCGAGAGATAATTATCTCTAGACTGAGAAGTGCTCCAGGACGGCCCAGCAAATCACACAAGATCTGAAAGGACCAAACTCTTTCCAAGAAACCTAATTGAATCTCTGAAAAAGCTCAAGAAGATTTATATGAATACAAAAACATTCAGAATCCAACAAGCCAAAATTCAGTGTCTGCCAACTAATCAAGGCCTAGTAGGCATTAAAAGAAGTAGGAAAATATGACCCATAATGAGGAGAATAATCAATCAATTGAAACCGACCAAGAACGGCAGACATTAAGTAGCATCCAAGGACATTAAAACGGTTACTGAAGTGCTGGGACACGGGAGCAGCAGTCTGCTGTTGAGCAGCTCAGCCGGGTAAGGAGGAAAGAGCAAGACAACCCAATCCCTGGAAGGGAAGGCCCAGCAACCGAGCTGTGACAAACACCGGAGGGGCTGATGACAGAGTCGACCCTGCAGGAGAAATTACACGCTTGAAGACTACAGAAAAGACAAAAACAAAAAAACAAAAAACGACAACCCAACACACAAAACACTCAAAATAATCCCGAGTAAAATAGACAAGAAAAGGAATATTTAAGACTGACAAGGTCGTCACTGAGCTGTGGGGTGATTTCACAGAGCACAACGTCCGCGTGGGTGGAGCCCCTGGAGGGAAGGACGGGGGTGGGGGGGTGGGGCGGGGCAGAGAAGGACAAACACTGCAAGAAAGTGCTGCATTTGATGAAAAGTATACACAGATCTAAGAAGCTCAACAAACCCCAAGCACAAGACACAGCCCCCTTTGCACACGACAAAGAAAAGAAAAATCTCTGAAATACTGAAATAAGAAAAAAATGCCAACCTAGAATTCGATTCCCAATGAAAATATTCATAAAGATGTTCTGAGGCAAACGGAACCTACAAGAACGCATCACCAGCAGACCCGCTCCACGAGGGAGGCCAAGGGAAGCCCCTGCAGTAGCAGGACAGGGACGCTGCACGGAGACTCAGATCCACACAAAGGAGCGAGGAGCAGTGGAGAGCGTGACTACACTGGCAACTACATGGTTTTCGACTTCATCTAAATCTTATAAGGACACTGAAATTACTAGCTTCTATCTGCAATTGATGTACAGTTGACAAACACCATCACACGAGTTTCAGGCATGCGACACCGTGACTCTGTGACTATGGACATCACAAAAGGTTCACCACAGTGTGGCGACTGTGGATGTTGCCGTCTGTCCCCACATGAAGTTACTGTGTGGTCAGGGGCTGCATTCCCCGTACTGCACGCCACACCCCGAGGCTTACCTGTTTTATAACTGTAGGTCTGTACCTCCTAATCCCCCCACCAGTTTTGCCCACCTCTCCCCCTCTGGTAGCCAGCAGTTTGTTCTCCTATCTGTGAGTCGTCTCTGTTTTGTTTCATTGGATCACTTGTTTCATCTTTGAGATTCCACGTGAGTGTAACGCTACGGCATTTGTGTGTCTCTGATTCAGTTCACTGAGCACAACAGCCTCGAGGTCCATCCGTGTCGTCACAAATGGCAAGATCTCATTCTTTTTTATGGCTGAGTAATATTCCACCGTGTATTTATACACGGCATCTTCTAGTTAAGATACAAAAGCAAATTACTATTTTCTGAAGAGATCGTTTCAACGAAACTAATAAAAGTGTACTGGGGTCTGAGGTAGACGTCTAGCTAGAATGTGTGACACGCACAGCACAGAGGCTCGAGGGGAACATCAGACCCATGGGGTTACAGGGCTGCCCGTGTGGGAAGGTACAGCATCGCTTACAGGAGGACCGTGGTAAGTGAAAAATGTGTACCGTAACCCCCAAAACCCCCAAACAGCCAAGAGTGACAACTAATAAGTGAAAAAAAGAAATACAATGAAATAATGAAACACACCCACTGAATGAGAAAGAAGCCAGAAAATCAGGAGAATGGGGATGCAGGGGAGGAGCTGAGATGAGGAGGAGAGAGTAAGACCCAGTTTTACCAGCCACCACATGGCATGGGAGCCGCCTACCCACCCGCCTACACGCAGAGTGGGGAGAACAGCCCCCACTACGCGCTGCTTACAAAAGAGCGCTCTTGACACAGAGAGGCAAACCTCCGTTAAGACAGTGGCACGGGGACAGAAAGCTGGAGACCCTGCTGGTATCAAAGTGAATTTCAGAGCCAGGAATGGCACCCGCAAGGCAAATCCATAATGACAAAGAGGCCAATTGGCCAAGAGAACATTACCGTCCTAAACACACACTTGCTAATGACAGAGCTTCAAGAGAGATGCAGCAAAACCTGGTAGAAATGCAAGGAGAAATAGCCAAGCCCACAATTACAGCCAGAGATTTCAATATCACTCTCTCAATAACTCATAGAATGAGAAGCAAAAACCCCAGAAGGATAAAGTAGACAGGAACAACATGATCAGCCAACTTGACTCAAGTGTCCAGAAGGAACACTCTGACCAGCACAGCAGAGGGCACCGTCCTCTTGGGTGGACACACATTTACGAACACAGACAGAGGCTGGGCCACGCAAAGAGGCTCAACATATTGAAAAGGATTTTAGTAATTCAAAGTATCTTCCGTGACCCTAATGGAATTAAGCTAGAAAAGAAAGATAATTGGAAAGCATAATATAGCATCTAAGAACACAGAGTACGTGGAGACCAATCTGGAAAAGCTGTCGGGGGTCCACCCTCTGATAACTATGCAGGGGTCCACTGAGCGGAGCGGAATTAACATCAGCCCAAACACATGGAGATACATGCGGCCGTGGCTAGAAGGCCAGCCTGCCAAGACTTCACTTCTCCCCACACTGCTCGAGAGAATCCAAGCCATCCCCGTCAAATCCCATACGTTTCTCTGTACAAACGGACAAGCTGATTCTAAAAGTCATGTGGAAATGTAACAGGCCCAGAATGTTCAAAACAACCTTGGGGGAAAGGATGGAGAGCTAACAACCTAATTTCGAGAAATGTCGTAAAGCCAGAGTGACCAAAACAGCCTTGGTCTGAAGTCAGACTGAGGAAACACAACAGAGCCCAGAAATAAACACCGACACATGGACAGCCTGTTCTGATAAATATTCTAAGGCGATTCAGCATAGAAAGGATGCTTACTCTTTTTAAAGATTTATTTATTTTAGAGAGAGCGAGAGAGAGTACGCACGCGAGCGGGAGGAGGAGCAGAGGGAGAGGAAGAATCTCAAGCAGAGTCCCCACTGAGCATGGAGCTGGACGCGGGGCTCAATCTCATGACCCTGAGATCACGACGAGCCAAAATCAAGATTCAGACACTTAGTCGACTGAGCCACCCAGGCTTCCAGAAAGGATGTCTTTTCAACAAATGGTGCTGGAACAGCTAGGTACTCGTTTAAAAAAAAAAAAAAAAATCCTCCAATTCTGTAATGTGTGTAATATAAAAAACTAACTCAAAATAGAAATAGAAACCTCCATGTAAGTCGAAAAATTATAAAATTACTAAAGAATATAGGGGAAAACCTGCAAATCTGGGATAGGCAAAGTTTCACAGCTACAATATCCAAATCATCACAAATAAAAGAGAAAACACTGATACAGATTTCTCCTTAACAGCCTCACAAAGCAGCGAAATGGCGAGCCACAGGATGGGAGGAGGTGCGTGCAAGGGAGTGTGTGACAGAGGACCTGCACACAGAACAGATGAAGAATGCTCAGACTCAGCAAGGAACAAACCATCAAGTAAAAACTGGACACGAGTGGGAACACTTTGCAGAACAAGACCCCCGATGATGACAAGCAGAGACGCTCAACATCATCGGTCGTTAGGGAAACAAAGTGCACACCACAAGCAGGGCGGCCGCACATCGATTCCGGGTACAGTGGGAAAGGCTGCGGGCCAAGTGCTGCTGTGGAGGCCCTGGGGGGCCGTCGGCTGGTGGCGGGGATGCTGGGTGGTGCAGCCACTTTGCAGACAGGCAGATTCCTAAAACAGGGCAGCACACAGCCGCCACCGTTCCACACGTCGGCAGTGACCCGAGAGAACAGGAAGTACATCTCCACACAAGGACTTTATTTGTAACATGAGGTCGCTTTGTCTGTGACGGTCGAAAGCCGGGGAAAGTGAATGCCCGGCCCCAAGTGCACGCAGACAAACCGCGGCATGTCGACCTGGCAATCAAAGGGAACACACCACTGATCCATGCGCTCTGCGATGTCAGAACAGTGAAGCCGGACACAAAAGAGTGGACACTGCACGAGACTGTTCCTCTCCAACTTTATCAAATGCCAACCAGTCCGCTTCAGTGAAAGCAGATCAGGGGCCGCCTGGGGTGGGGGAGGAAGGGAGGGTTCCAAA